CCCAGGCCCAGAGTTCAGGCCCCACGACTGGACCCAAAAAAAAAAAAGAGTCTCAGGGCCTTTCCTGCCTGGGCTAGCTTTGAACCATGATCCTCAGAGTTCAGCCTCCTGAGTAACTAGGATTACAGGTGTGAGTCACCAACTCATCAAAGGGTTTTGATGAGTGAAAAAGCCATGTAATAATGTGAAACCTGAGTTCAAGTACCAGCTGAAAAATAAGAAAAATAATGGTGTCTGTGTTTCTAATGTTGTCTCCCATCTCCCCAGCTACCCTGAAAACCCTGAAAGACTCCATGCCATTAAGGAGCAGCTTATCCAGGAAGGCCTTGTGGATCGTTGTGTATGCTTTCCGGTGAGTTCCATAGTCAACACTAGATGGAAAGCAGGGATCTGGCAGGACCTACTTTAGGTGCAGCCTACTTTAGCTCTTTATTTCTCATGTCTCCTCAGGCCCGGGTCGCAGAAAAGGAAGAGCTCATGTTGGTTCACAGGTGAAGGCTTAGGAACCTGGTAGGGCGGGGAAGAGGTTGTTCTGGACCAATAAGAACAGGCTGAATGATTTGGTCAGGAATTTCATGGACTTGGGCAAGTAGCTGAGCCTCTCTGAGACTGCCATTTTTAGGAAACTGAAGTTCCTCAGGAGGGCTCGATATATAACATGTGCTTAGAATGTTAGCCCATGATGATATGCTTTTATTATAATCTGGTTGTATAAACAGGTGCTGAATGTGTGCACAGTGATGGAAGGGTACCCCCAGGGAACTGTGGGAACTCAGTAGGAGGTTTGGTGCTGTATGGCTCAGGAAAAGCTAGCTTGATAGTGGAGAGTGATAAAGCTGAGCTATTTATTTATTTAGTGCTGATCCTGAAACTTGTACTCAGGTCTGGGCATTGTTCCTGAGGGCCTGGATATTGTTCCTGAGATTCTTTTTCTCAAGGCTGTCACTCTACCACTTGAGCTACAATGCTACTTCTGGCTTTTTCTGAGTAATTTATTGGAGATGAGAGTCTCACAGACTTTCCTGCCCAGGCTGGCTTCAAACTGTGGTCCTCAGATCTCAGCCTCCTGAGTAGTTAGGATTACAAGTCTAAGCCACCAATGCCTGGCTGCTCTTTTGCTCAAGGCTAGCTTTCTACCACTTAAGCCAAAGCTACACTCTAGCTTTTTTTGTCAGTTGTAGGGTTTAAACTCAGGACTTGGGCTCAGTCCCTGAGCTCTTTTTTTTCCCCCCAGTCATGGGGCTTGAACTCGGTCTGGGCGCTGTCCGTGTACTCTTCAGCTCAAGGCAAGCACTCTACCACTTGTCCCACAGTGCCACTTCCGGTTTTCTGGTAGTTAACTGAAAATAAGAGTCTCACCCACTTTCCTCCCTGGGCTGGCTTTGAACCATAATCCACAGATCTCAGCCTCTCTTGAGTAGCTAGGATTACAGGCGCAAACCAGTGGTGCCCAGCACTTCTAGCTTTTTTTTTAAATTGCTAATTGGAGATAAAATTCCTATAAACTTTCCTGCATGGTCTGGCTTTGAACTGTGATCCTCACATCTCAGCCTTGTGAATAGCTAGGATTATAGGCATCAGCCACTGACACCCAACTAAGTTGAGCTTTGAGAGGAAAAAGAAGAGTCTAGTAAAGAGAAGAGCTTGACACTGATGAAAGTGGACTATACAACTTGTGCATGGAGACCAGAGGAAGGAAGTAGGAGAGAGTAAGGGAAGGGAAGACACTATGAAAGGAAATTTTAATCCTTCTGTACATTACCTTTATAATAACAATAAAGTAAGTAACAATTTAAAAAAACACACACACACCAAAACCGGGCGTGGGTGTAATCCTAACTACTCAGGAGGCTGAGATCTGAGGATCGAGGTTCAAAGCCAGCCCAGGCAGGAAAATCCGTGAGACTCTTATCTCCAATAAACCAGAAGTGCCACTGTGGCTCAAGTGGTAGAGCACTCGCCTTGAGCTGAAGAAAGCAAGGACAGTGCCAAAGCCCAGAGTTCAAATCCCACGACCAACCAAAAAAACAAAAACAAAACAAAAAAACAGGGCTGGGAAGATGGCTCAGTGGTAGAGCGCTTGCCTTGCATGCATGAGGCCCTGGGTTCCATTCCCCAGCACCACATAAGAAAAAAAAAGCCGAAAGTGGTGCTATAGCTCAAGTGGTAGAGCGCTAGCCTTGAGCTGAAGAGCTGCGGGACAGTGCCCAGGCCCAGAGTTCAGGCCCCACGACCGGACCCAAAACAAACACAAACCATACATCTCCAAATAACTGAATAGATGTGGGTATGGGCGTTGAGAGAGAGAGTGGGGGGGGGGAAGGGGAGAGAGGCTGGGAATATGGCTTAGTGGTAGAGTGCTTGTCTAGTATGCATGAACCCAGAGCTGTTTTTCCAGGTTGAATCTGGGGAAAGCCTGATTTGATTGGTGTGTGGTAAGCTTAGTTAGGGAGGGTATAGGACCCTGAATCTCATGACCCATCTGTGTTCCCAGCCCAGAGTACATTGACCTCATGGAGACAACCCAGTACATGAATGAGGGAGAACTTCGCATACTGGCAAGCACCTATGATTCAGTTTATCTACATCCGGTATGGATAAGAACCATGGGGTTTGGGAGTGGCAGCAATCCTGGGGTCCCTCCATCCGTATACCCTGGGGAAGAAACAGAGCAGATAAAACAGATCTTTCACATCTTCTTTGGCTTCCCACTTTTCCAGAACTCTTTTATTTGTGCCTGTCTGGCCTCAGGCTCTGTCCTTAGACTAGTAGATGCTGTCCTGGGAGCTGAGATCCGGAATGGCATGGCTATCATCAGGTATTTGACTTTTTAAATTTGAAAAAAAGCCTTTCTCCTAAAATATATTGACTTGGGTACTATCTACATGTAGTTTTAGAATTAAAAGACATGAGCCTATTAATAAATAAAGTCTTCCACCCTTGTTGCCCAGACATTTGCTTCCTCTTTTGAGAGGTAGTCATTATGTGACAGTCTTTTTTCTTTGCCTGCCTGCCTGCCTTCTTTCTTCCTTCCTTCCTTCCTTCCTTCCTTCCTTCCTCCCTCCCTTCCTTCCTTCCTCCCTTCCTCCCTTCCTCCCTTCCTTCCTTCCTGACTTTCTGTCTCTTTCTTTTTTTTCTTTTCTTTTTTCCTTGCCAGTCCTGATGCCTGACTCAGGGTAGCTTCTTTCATTTCCAGCTTTTTTGGTACTTAATGAGAGATAAGAGTGTCATGGACATTCCTGCTCAGGCTGGCATCAAACTGCAATCCTCAGATCTCAGCCTCTTGAGTAGCTAGGATTACAGGCATGAGCCTCTATCACCGGGCTCCTACAGATAGTCTTATTCAAAGAATAGCCATCACATTTAATTGATTCTAAGATGTACAGTCTCTCTCTCTCTCTCTCTATCTATATATATATAGATGTATATGTATGTATATATATATATATGGAACATCTTGAAATCCAGATACATATAACAAAGAGTGACATCTTAAAATCTAGTCAGTATTTTCTGCTTAGTTGGCCTGTAAAGTCATAGACACACCCCACTCCTCCCATCATGACTGGCTTTCTATTTTTGGGGGGGGGTTCTGGTTGTGGGGCCTGAACTCTGGGCCTGGGTGCTGTCCCTCAGCCCTTCAGCTCAAGGCTAGCGCTCTACCACTTGAGCCACAGCACCACTTCTGGATTTTTTTCTTTTTGCTTATGTGGTGCTGGGGAATGGAACCCAGGGCCTCATGCATGCAAGGCAAGCGCTCTACCACTGAGCCACCTTCCCAGCCCGTGACTGGCTTTCTAGAAGTGACAAAATGCAGAAGATAGAACCTTTATCCTCCCTCAGTTTTTTTCTTGCAGTGCTGGGGAATGACCTAGGATCTTGTACATCCTAGGCAAGCGCTTTATCACTAAGCCACCCTTGAGCCTCCCTTCTAACCTTTTATTTGTTTTTGTTTTTTGTCAGTCGTGGGGCTTGAACTCTGGGCCTGGGTGCTGTCCCTCAGCTCTTCAGCTTGAGGCTAGTGCTCTACCACTTGAGCTACAGCGCCACTTCCGGTTTTCTGGTGGTTTTTTGGAGATAGGAGTCTCATGGTCTCTCCTGCCCGGACTGGCTTTGAACTGCGATCCTCAGGTCTCAGCCTCCTGAGTAGCTAGGATTACAGGCGTGAGCCACCAGCGCCCGGCTTCCCTTCTAACCTTTTAAAATCACCAGTGATAGTAAGCATGTAAACACTCCTTTCTAGAACATGTATTTTTCACTTACATGTCTTAGAAAGCTTGCTCTAACAGTATTTAAGTTAGGCCTCAGTAGATGTCATTGTACAAGTGCACTTTTTATGCTAACCACTCACCAACTGATGGGCTTTCTGATTCACCCCAATCATTTGTTATGGTGGGACATTTTGTAAACATGTTGTTTTACCTTTATGTTATATAGGCTATGGGCTACATCCCTGAAGCAAATGACTGGATATGAGAATGTATGCATGGATAACCTTTTTTTTTCTTTTTTTAAAAATATATTTCACTTTGTAGCACAGGCTAGCCTAGAACTCTCGGTCCTTCTATCTCAGCCTCCTGAGTTCTGGGATTAGAGAAATCACTACCATGCTCAGCCAGGGCATGGATAACTTTAGTGAATATTTTATGTCTTCTCTGGAGAGAGAACAGTAGATTGGGGGTTGTAAGGACTTAAGGACCCCAGTTAATCAGTTGCTAGAAGATTTATCGTGTCAACACTGAAGGAATTGTTGGTCTAGAATTGGGAGCCTGGGAGAGCCTATCTCTCTGTAGAGGAAAGCTTTCAAACCTTGGGCCTTTCCTATCCTGTGCAGACCTCCAGGACACCATGCGCAGCGTGATCTGATGGGTGGGTATTGCATGTTCAACCATGTAGCTGTAGCTGCTCGTTATGCTCAAAGGAAGCACCACATTAAGAGGTCAGTGCCTAACAGTGGATATGATGGGGGTGGCATGGGGTCAGCTACTCCATGGCCCCCTGGTACAGGGTCTCCCTCCCTTTCCTCCCACAGGGTCCTTATTGTGGACTGGGACGTTCATCATGGCCAAGGAACACAATTCATGTTTGACCAGGATCCCAGGTATACCTTGTCCCAATCATCCATAATTCCCACCCTTCTAGACCCAGCCAGAGGGGCTAGAAGGAAAAACATTCAAATTCATTGGGCCTACCTGGTAACAGCATGTGTGCTGCCCCCTGTGTGTCTGCTGCTTCATAATTTCATGCTGAGGCAGGGTGTTATCCCTGAGCTTTTTTACTCAAAGCTAGTGCTATGATTTGAGCCACAACTTCCAGCTTTTTGGTGGTTAATTGGAGATAAGAGTCTCATAACTTTTCTCCCTTGGCTGGCGTCGAACTGTAGCCCTCAGATGTCAGCCTCCTGAGTAGCAAGGATTACAGGTGTGAGCCACCAGAGCCTGGCTGTCAGTAAGGAACATTAATTACTAAATGGTAGTTTTTTTCTAGTTGTCTTTCCAACTGACTACGCAGAGTCTACTTTTTCCTTCAGAAGTCTTGAGCTCCCATGGCCCTTTGTTCACTAGACATCATTTTATTATTTTTCTTCATATGCTGTTGCTGGCAGTTTTTTTTTTCATTTCTTTGTTTTTTGGTGTGTTTATCTGTGTGTCTGTGTCTTTTTCATTACTGTGTCTCTGATAGATCTCTCTTTCTTCATAGGGGAATTTGAACTCAGGGCCTTACACTTGATAGGGTGGTGCTCTATCACTAGAGCCATGTTCCTAGCACCCTTTTTTTGTCAGTAGTGGGGCTTGAACGCTGGGCCTGGGCACTATCCCTCTTCAGCTCAAGGCTAGGGTCCTACCACTTGAGCCATAGCGCCACTTCCGGTTTTCTGGTGTTTTTTTGTTTTGTTTTGTTTTGTTTTTGGCCGTGGGGCTTGAACTCTGGGCCTGGGCACTGTCCTTCAGCTGTTCAGCTCAAGGCTAGCACTCTACCACTTAAGCTACAGTGCCACTTCCCATTTTCTGGTGATTTATTGGAGATAAGAGTTTCATGGAGGGCTGGGAAGGTGGCTCAGTGGTAGAGTGCTTGCCTTGCATGCATGAGGCCCTGGGTTCGATTCCTCAGCACCACATAAGCAAAAAGAAAAAAGCCGGAAGTGGCGCTGTGGCTCCAGTGGTAGAGCGCTAGCCTTGAGCTGAAGAGCTGAGGAACAGTGCCCAGGCCTAGAGTTCAGGCCCCACGACCGGACCCCCCCCCCAAAAAAAAAAAAACACCAGGCCTAGTAAGGTAGCTCAGTGGTAGAGTGCTTGCCTTGCATGCATGAGGCCCTGGGTTCGATTCCTCAACACCACGTAAGCAGAAAAAAAAAAGCTGGAAGTGGCACTGTGGTTGAAGTGGTAGAGCACTAGCCTTGAGCTGAAGATCTGAGGGACTGTATCCACGCCTGAGTTCAGGCCCCACGACCCACAAAAACAAACAAACAAAAAAAAACACCAAAGAAAACCCTAAGGGACAGCATCTGGGCCCTGAGTTCAAGCCTCAGTACACACACACACACATACACACACAAGTGTTGTCTTAGACTATTTCTGGAATCACACACGAAAGAGGAGAAATTCAGCCTTAGTTTCTGAATCAGGTTGGAGCGATTGAGCAGAAGACAGGGTGGACAGATGGATGATAGATTATTCATTTTGTTTCCTTAGAATGAAGCCCCACCCCAGCAACTCCACATCATGCCTGTTCATCTCATCTTCTCTGTCTGAACCTGTACATCATTTTTTAGTTGAAATCTATATATATATCATGTCTTTTTATATCTGTTTTTCATGTCAGTCCCTCTCAATGTTGTGACAATTGACTTTTCTCACCTATAAAATAGAAGTAGTAGGGATATCTTAAAAGGTAGTGGGGAGAAGAGACTGGCCTGATGACAATCCTAGACAGCTCCTCCATTCCATACACAGAACAGGTTCCTCTCCTCACTCTTGGCCTCTAGGTCCCCTCATTTCCTGCAGGAGAATCGCTAAACTTTCCTGTCCTGGGATTCTTTTCAGCTTTTGCTGTCTTCGCCAAGGCCCTATGGGCCTCATGTTATAGGTTTTATCCTGCTCTTCCTACGTTGACCTCAGAGGAAGGTACCAAAATCCTCAGATATCAGCCTCCTGAGTAGTTAAGATTATAGGCCTGAGCCCCTGGCTCCCAGTTTACCTTTATTATTTCTTATCCTCGGCATTTAACCCAGAGCCTTTAGGGCACAATCCTTCATTCTGTCTTTTCTGTCCCCAGTGTTTTATACTTCTCCATCCACCGCTATGAGCAGGGTCGGTTCTGGCCCCACCTCCAGGCCTCTAACTGGTCTGCCATAGGTTGTGGCCAAGGGCAAGGATACAACATCAATATACCTTGGAATCAGGTCAGTGTCTGATCACTCTTAAAGTGAGGCCCAATTCTATCCAACACCTTATGGCAGCTAGCTGACTATCCCCTATGTCTGCAGGTGGGGATGCGGGATGCGGACTACATTGCTGCTTTTCTCCACATCTTGTTGCCTGTTGCTTCTGAGGTTCTGGGGATTTGGGGAAGGTTGGGATAAGGGGCAACATTGAGGGGGGTGGTCCCTGAGGGTAGGTAGCCTCATATACTCTTTCTACCCATCACCCTATAGTTTCAGCCTCAACTGGTCCTGGTAGCTGCTGGATTTGATGCCCTCCAAGGGGACCCCAAGGTAAGACAGTATCTCTGGGATAGCAAGTGTACAAAAGGGGGTGTATTTAACCAGGCTTACTTTTCATGTCTTTTCAGGGCGAGATGGCTGCCACCCCTGCAGGGTTTGCCCAGTTAACCCATCTGCTCATGGGTATGGCAGGAGGCAAGCTAATTCTGTCTCTGGAAGTAAGTGACTCAACTTCATCTTACCCTGGGCACCTTAAACATTTTAAGAAAAAAGCTTTTCTAGAAACGGAAGTATGGCTGAAGTGGTAGAACACTGGTCTTGTGCTAAATTGCTGGGAGACCAACTTAGCCCTTCCTTAATTAAAGCCTCAGTACCAGCACACAAAAAAAAATGAAGAGGGCTGAGAAGGTAGCTCAGTGGTAGAGCGCTTGCCTTGCATGCAAGAGGCCCTGGGTTCAATTCCTCAACACCACATAAGCAGAAAAAGCCAGAAGTGGTGCTGTGGCTTAAATGGTAGAGTGTTAGCCTTGAGCTGAAGAGCTGAGAGACAGTGCCAGGCCCTGAGTTCAGGCCCCACGACCAGCAAAAAAAAAAGAAAGAAAATAAAATGAAGAGAACTTTTGGACTGGGTATGGCTTCAGTGACAGAGTACTTCTCCAACATACTTTTGAGGCTCTTGGCTCCATCTTTTTTTTTTTTTGGTCAGTCGTGGAGAGACTTGAACTCTGGGCCTGGGCACTGTCCCTCAGCTCTTCAGCTCAAGGCTAGTGCTCTACCACTTGAGCCACAGCACCACTTCTGGCTTTTTTTCTTTTTGTTTATGTGGTGCTGAGGAATCGAACCCAGGGCCTCATGCATGCAAGGCAAGCGCTCTACCACTGAGCCACCTTCCCAGCCCCTATTATCACTATTTTACAGATGAGAAAATTAAGTGACAGAGAAATTAACTGGCTGGCAAAAAGCCTGACTTACAGTGTACCCAGGAATGCTTGTGCCAGGCCAGGGTGGTGATTAAAATTGCAAACTAATAGCCAGGTGCTGGTGGCTCATGCCTGTAATCCTAGCTACTCTGGAGGCTGAGATCTGAGGATTGTAGCTCAAAGCCAGCCCAGGCAGACAAATCGAGAATACTCTTATCTCTACTCAGAAGAAAATGGGAAGTAGAGGCATGGCTCTAGTGATAGAGTACCAGCCATTAACAAAAAAAGCCAAGTGAGAGTCTAAAGCCTTGAATTCAAGCCGCAGTACAAGAACAACAACAAAAAAAAAACACAAAAAACAATGTAGACTATTTTGTCAGATAGCATATCTAGCACTAATTCTTCAATATGAGTTATCTAAGCATTCTGAGCCTTAGTTTCTTTATATGTATAAAGAAGAGAAACAGGTTCCTATAGATGAAAAAGTTCAAGTCATGAAGAATCATATAGAGAGAAATACCAGTTGTTCATGTACAAGGTCAGGTCTAGGACTCCTGTATAGGTTCACACTACACATTTTGTGCAGGTCTGGACAGATCTAGATGTGAGGCCAGGGATTCAAGGATAGTGTTAAGACAGTTTTGTGGATGGTGCGAAGGCATTTTTTTGTTGTTGTTAGTCGTGGGGCTTGAACTCTGGGTCAGGGTGCAGTCCCTCAGCTCTTCAGCTCAAGGCTAGCACTCTACCACTTGAGCCACAGCGCCACTTCCGGCTTTTTTCTTTTTGCTTATGTGGTGTTGAGGAATAGAACCCAGGGCCTCAGGCATGCAAGGCAAGCGCTCTACCACTGAGCCATCTTCCCAGCCCTGGAAGGCAGATTCTTATACAGATTAAGCACCTGTGGTTGTGAGGATTAACTATGTTAGTATGCACTAAATATTTAAAATAGAATCTGGCAGAAAACAAACACTTGATGTTAGCTAATTACTAATGACTTTTGCAGGTAGGGGGGGGTACTGATCCTGGGACTTGGGCCCTAAGCTGCTTTTGCTCAAGGCTAGTGCTCTACCACTTGAGCCACAGCTCAAGGTTTTTAGGTGATTAATTGGTGATAAGAGTTTCTTGCCTAGGCTAGCTTCAAACCATAATCCTCAGATTTCTTTTGCTGGTCCTGGAACTTGAACTGTGGCCCTGGGCACTATCCCTGAGCTCCTTTTGCTCAATGCTAGCACTCTACCACTTAAGCCCCAGTGCTACTTCCAGCTTTTTCTGAGACTAATTGGAGATAAGAGTCTCAGAGCTGGCTTCAAACCACGATCCTCAGATCTCAGCCTCCTGAGTAGCTAGGATTACAGCTATGAGCTGCTGGTACCCAGCTAATGTTTTTTGGGTTTTTTTGGTCGGTTGTGGGGCTTGTACTCTAGGCTTAGATGCTGTCCTTGTGCTCTTCAGCTCAAGGCAAGCGCTCTACCGCTTGAGCCACAGCACCACTTCCGGTTTTTCTAGCAGTTTATTGGAGATAAGAGTCTCACGAACTTCCCTGCCCGGGCTGGCTTTGAACCACGATCCTCAGATCTCAGCTTCCTGAGTAGCTAGGATTACAGGCGCCCGGCTATCAGTACAGTTATTGCTACTTTGCTCTTTGACAACCCAGTTTACCTTTCCCACAACAACCACCTCACACAACAAGTGGTGCCCATTTTACAAATGTGGGTTTTGTTCCTCCTGCCACCCTCCATTCTGGGCTTTGAGGGCCCTGACATGGGAAAGAAGGGGATTTAGGACTGTAGGATCCTCCCAAATTCCCCAAAGACCTTCCCACTGTTATCTTTTCCTCCCCAAAGGGTGGCTACAACCTGACATCCATCTCAGAGTCAATGGCTGCCTGTACCCATTCCCTCCTTGGAGATCCGCCACCCCTGTTATCGATGCTTCGGCCACCACAACCAGGGGCCCTGGCCTCAATTACAGAGACCATCCAAGCCCATCGCAAATACTGGCGCAGCCTGAGGGTCCTGAGTGAGTAGACATGGGAAAGTGGGAACAATGAAAAGAATTGGGAGGGGGGCAGACATTAGAGGCAGAAAAGGGGACAGCACTCAAGGATTTTCCTCCATGGTTCCAGAGGTAGAAGACAAGGATTCACCCTGCACTTCCAAACCCATCACCAGGAAGGCATCCCATCCAACCCATCTTAGGTTGGCTAAGGGGGTAACCATGCCAGAAGGGAAGGGTGTAAAAGCAAGCATGAGGAAAGTTACCTCAGCGTCATCTGCAAAAGCACCTACTGCAGCTCACACCAAAGTGAAGACAGCCAAAGTGACCACATGTGCTCAAAACAAGGCTCAGAGAGATAGTTGGAAATCAAAACTAACCTGGGACACCTCTGAGAACACTGTGGGAGGAGCCATGGTGGTCCAGGCCATCTTCGAGAATAGTGTTGGAGGAACCAAGATGAACCAGGCGACCTCCAATGAGACTGTGGGAGAAGCCATGATGGACCCGATCAACTTTGAGGAGACTGATGGAGAAGGAGCCGTGGTGGACAAGGTCATCTGTGAGAAGACTGAAGGAACCAAGGTAGACCAAGCCACCTCTGAGGACACTGTGGGAGGAGACACGGTGGATGAGGCCACTTCCAAGGAGACTGTGGGAGGAGACATGGTGGACCAATCCACCTCAGAGGAGACTGTGGGAGGAGACATGGTGGACCAGGCCACCTCTGAGATTGTGGGAGGAGCCAAGGTGGACCAGGGCCCCTCCAAGGAGATTGTGGGGGGAGACATGGTGGATCAGGCCACCTCTGAGGAAACAATGGGAGGAGCCAAGGTGGACCAGGCCACCTCCAAGGAGACTATGGGGGGAGACATGGTGGATCAGGTCACCTGCAAGGAGACCATGGGAGGAGCCAAGGTGGACAAGGTCACCTGCAAGGAGACCGTGGGAGGAGCCAAGGTGGACGAGGTCACCTGCAAGGAGACCATGGGAGGAGCCAAGGTGGACGAGGTCACCTGCAAGGAGACCATGGGAGGAGCCAAGGTGGACAAGGTCACCTGCAAGGAGACCATGGGAGGAGCCAAGGTGGACAAGGTCACCTGCAAGGAGACCGTGGGAGGAGCCAAGGTGGACAAGGTCACCTGCAAGGAGACCGTGGGAGGAGCCAAGGTGGACAAGGTCACCTGCAAAGAGACCTTGGGAGGAGCCAAGGTGGACGAGGTCACCTCCAAAGAGACTGTAGGAGAAGCCACCTCAGGGGAAGTCATACTAGACCAGACCAACTCAGAGGATGCTCTGGGAGGAGCCAAGCTGATCCAAACTCCTCTAGACTCAGACAGAGATAAGCAGATCTCACTTCAGCAGGGAACCACATTCCAGCTATCCCCCATTCAGCAGATTGGGAATCCCAGAATTTTAGAACCAGGCAATGAAGCTCAGGTAAGGCCACCACACCTGGGGCAAGGGAAGGAGAGTTAAGAATTGTTCTTGCTGGGCATGGTGGCATGCATCTGAATTTCAGCTACTCTGGAGGTAGAAGGATCTGGAGGATCATGGTTCAAGGTCAGTGTAGGCAAAAAGTTAGCAAGATCCTACATCAACAACCTGGTGTTGTAAACAACCTGGCACATGTAAACTGGGATGTGTAAGTAGGGGGATCACAGTCTAGGCTGACCCTGGTACAAATATAAGACCCTAACCAGGCATGGGTGGCTCATGCCTATAATCCTAGCTGCACAAGAGGCTGAGAACTGAGGATTACCATTTGAAGCCAGGCTCAGGAAAGTCAGTGAGGCTCATCTCCAGTTAACCAGCAAGAAGCTAGAAGTAGAGATGTGGCTCAAGTGGTAGGGCACCAGCCTTGAGTAAAACAGCTTAGGGACAGTGCCTAGGCCCTGAGTTCAAGCCCAGAACCAGCACCAAAACAAAACAAAAGGTGAGACCCTATCTGAAAAATTACAAAAGTTAAAAAGGGCCAAGGGTGTGGCTCAAGTGATAAGAGTACCTGCCTAGCAAGCATGGGGCCCTGACTTTAAACTCCAGTTGCCACCAAAAAGAAAAAAGAATTGGAGGGCTGGGAATGTGGCTTAGTGGCAGAATGCTTGCCCAGCACGCACAAAGCCCTGGGTTCAACTCCTCAGTACCATATAATCAGAAAAGGTCAGAAGTGGTGCTATGGCTCAAGTGGTAGATTGCTAGCCTTGAGCAAAAGAAGCTTGGGGATGGGGCTGGGAAGGTGGCTTGATGGTAGAGTGCTTGCCTTGCATGTATGAAGCCCTGGGTTCTATTTCTCAGCACCACATAAGCAGAAAAAGCCAGAAGTGGCGCTATGGCTCAAGTGGTAGAGCGCTAGCCTTGAGCTGAAGAGCTGAGGGACAGCGCCCAGGCCCTGAGTTCAGGCCTCACGACTGACAAAAAAAAAAAATTAGACTTCTCAGTTCCATCTTTTCCTTCTCTGTCCAGAGAGCCCTGGAAGATGAAGACCCAGAAGATGAAGGCCTACTGGGAGAAGCAGCTGGAGGTGAGCCTATTACTAACTCTCAGCTGGCATTTGGATCTGATGAAGCTGCTGCTGCTGTTGCTACTATTACTGTTGCTCCTGACAATGATGAGGTGAGCTCAGGGAGAAGCTGGGGTTATGGTTTCTTCATTTTGCTTCCTCATCTCACTAGACAGGGTCATACGATATATAGTAGAGAGATAAAGTCTTCAATTTAGTTTCACTTTTCCATCCTAGGACTTATTTTATGCTGTAACACCAATGCCTTGGTGCCCCCATTTGGGGGCAGTGTGCCCCATACCTGCAGCAGGACTGAACGTAAACCAACCTTGTGATACCTGTGGAACTATGGAGGAGAACTGGGTGTGTCTTAGTTGTTATAAGGTATGGAACAGAAAGGCAATGGAGTGGTGGCCAACCCAGCAACAAATCTAAGGGTGGTGCCAACCCCACTTCCCCATACTCACTCCCCCATCTCAGGTCTACTGCAGTCGCTATGTAAATGGCCACATGGTCAGCCATTACGAAGCTTCTCAACACCCATTAGTCCTCAGCTGTGTAGACCTCTCTTCCTGGTGTTACCATTGTGAGGCCTATGTCCACCACCAGGTGAGTTGGGGCAAACCCTTTAACCCATGCACACTCACCCCCTACCCATGCCCACGTCCTTTCTGTGATCGAGTAAAGGAAAAACACAGACCCCCTCCTCATGGTTGCCTTGTGAGGGTTTAAGGGCGGTGTGGGTTAGTCTAGGAGATCGAGTGGCTGAGGGCTGGAGCAGGCCAAGGTAAAGCCATCCTCACTTCTCTCACCTGCCTTCTTGTTGCCTCCTCCTCAGGATGTCCTCCATGTGAAGACTGTGGCTCACAAGAACAAATTTGGAGAGGACATGCCCTCCCCCAATTAAATCCACATCATCTTCTACCTTTCCCAAGACCCCAAAATAAACCAGCCCAAGTTCTTAGTTTGTTGTAACCTGTACCTTGGGTGAGGGTAACCCCTCATTCTGCCCCACCCTGAATATCCTTTACAAGTTTCCCATGGGTGCTTATTTAAGTGTAAATAATTTTTAAGAAACTGTAATGTTCAGTTTTGGACCTGATCTTACCCACTACCTGTTCAAGGAACACCACTACTTCACCCCAGAAGGAGAGGGAAAACTCAGTAGCCCCAAGCCAGGGGTAACACTGGAGGGAGGGGAACTGGCAGTAACAGCAGGGTTGCATATGAATAAAGTTGATGCAAAAACTGGAGAAAGCCTTTTGAGTATGTTGAAAAACCCTCACATCTTCAGTCAGCTGGACTGATGAGTAATGGACTAGAGAATAGGTATTCCTCAGTTCAACCCCTATCCATCCATTGCACAGCAAACAACCAAAACATGGAACAGCTTGATTGGCTTCACTGGAAATTAATGAGAACACATGAGAAAATGAGTGCTTGCCTTAGAAATGGCCTTCTAGACAGCCCCAGCCATTCCCTAGGCTGAGAAGATAAGAAAACCACCAGGAAGTATCCTCACCAAGCCCCAGTTTCCCTATCTGTTTTGCTGGCCTGATTGGTGAGGTAGGAATAGGATTCAATTTTAACTTGGATGTGGTGGCCATGGTGGTTCTTGGGAAAGAGTATGTAGTGCGATTACCAAGAGACAGGAAATAGGAGCACAGTTCTGGAGTTTTATTTCTCCTGCATGAGAATTGTTTTGGTTGATGCTTCTAGGAAGTTTTTTTCTTTTTTCTTTTTCTTTTTTTTTTTTTGTCGGTCATGGGGCCTGAACTCTGCCTGGGCACTGTCCCTCAGCTCTTCAGCTCAAGGCTAGTGCTCTACCACTTGAGCCATGCCTCAAGTGGAGATGGACTCTTTTTTTTTTTTTGGTTCCGGTCGTGGGGCCTGAACTCTGGGCCTGGGCGCTGTCCCTCAGCTCTTCAGCTCAAGGCTGGCGCTCTACCACTTGAGCCACAGCGCCACTTCCAGTCTTTTTCTGCTTATGTGGTGCTGAGGAATCGAACCCAGGGCCTCGAGCGTGCAAGGCAAGCGCTCTACCACTGAGCCACCTTCCCAGCCCCTCAGCTCTTCATCTCAAAGCAAGCGCTCTACCACTTGAACGACAGTGCCAGTTCTGGTTTTCTAAGTGTTTTTTTGGAGATAAAAGTCTCAGGGCCCTTCCTGCCCAGGCTGGCTTTGATCTTCAGATCTCAGCCTCCTGAGTAGCTAGGATTACAGGCGTGAGCCACCAGCACCCAGCTTCTTGGCTCCATCTTCAGCACTGCAAATTAAAAAAAAAAAATCAGCCAGGCCCTGGTGGCTCAGGCTTGTAAAGGAGGATTGCGGTTCAAAGCCACCCCTGGCAAAAAAAGTCCCCAGGAGACTCTTTTCTCCAAATAGCCACTCAAAAACCAGAAGTAGCGCTGTAGCTCAAGTGTTAGAACACTAGCTTTGAGCACAAAGAGGCTCAGGGACAATGCGTAGGTCCTGAGTTCAAGCCCCACAACTGACAAAAAAAAGTCACAAACCAGCTGGATGCGAGTGGTTTACATCTGTGACTCTAGCTACTCAGGAGACTGAAATTTGAGAATCCTTGTTCAAAGCCAGCCCAGGCAGAGAAGTCTGTGAGACACTTATCTCCAATTAAGCACCAAAAAAGCCATAAGTGGAGCTGTGGCTCAAAGTGGTAGAGTGCAGCCGGGCACTGGTGGCTCATGCCTGTAGGAGGCTGAGATCTGAGGATCGAGGTTCAAAGCCAGCCGGACAGGAAAGTCTGTGAGGCTCTTATCTCCAATAAAACCACTAGAAAAACGGAAGTGGCGATGTGGCTTAAGCGGTAGAGCAATCGCCTTGAGCTGAAGAGCTGAGGGACAGCGCCCAAGCCCAGAGTTCAAGCCCCAGGACCAGCACCCAAAAAAATCATAAATCAAAAAACAGGGAAGGGCTGGGAATGTGGCTTAGTGTTAGATTGCTGGCCTAGCATTCATGAAGCCCTGGTTCGATTCCTCAGTGCCATATAAATAGAAAATGCCAGAAATGGTACTGTGGCTCAAGTGGTAAAGTGCTGGCCTTGAGCAAGAGAAGCTCAAGGAGAGCACCTAGGCCCTGGGTACAAGCCCCAGGACTGCCACAAAAAAAAAAAAGGAAGGAAAAAATTTTTTGCTAGGTGCTGGTGGCTCATGCCTGTAATCCTAGCAACTCAGGAGGCTGAAGTCTGAGGATTATGGTTCAAAGTCAGCCCTGGCAAGAAAGTCTATGAGATTCTTATCTCCAGCTAGCCACCAGAAAACTGAAAGTGGCACTGTGGCTCAAAGTGGTAGAGTGCTTACCTTGAGCAAAAAAGCTCAGGGTCAGCACCCAGGCCCTAAGTTCAAGCCCCAGGACTGACAAAAAAGAAAAGAAAAAAATTAAAATATATAGTTCCTGGCTCAGCATTTCCCCTTACTAGCTGGACAACCTTCCACAATCACTTCATAGTTCTGTTCTCCTTACATACAATAGGAAAAATGATAATGATGTCCTTGTCCAAGGAATTAAATCAAGTCTCCATAAGTTCCTTCTTGTTTAATATATAGTATGCAGCCGAGTGCCGGTGGCTCACGCCTGTAATCCTAGCTACTCAGGAGGCTGAGATCTGAGGATCGTGGTTCAAAGCCAGCCTGGACAGGAAAGTCCTTGAGACTCTTATCTCTAATTAACCACCAGAAAACCGAAAGTGGTGCTGTGGCTCAAGTGGTAGAGCGCTAGCCTTGAGCTGAAATGCTGAAGGACATCACCCAGGCCCAGAGTTCAAGCCGTGTGTGTGTATATGTGTGTGTGTGTGTGTGTATATGTGTGTGTGTGTGTGTGTGTGTGTAGCGTGTGTGTAGCATTACCTAATACAGTAATTATTATCAGTATTCCCTGGTAATGTGGTAACATGGACATGTCTGATCCCCACTCCCTTTCAGGGTGGATACAACCTCCAGTCTCTGGCTAGGGGTGTCAGTGCATCTCTCCATACCCTTCTGGGAGACCCTTGCCCTATGCTAGAGTCCCCTGGTGCACCATGTCAAAGGTGAGCCTGAGTGGAGGTGGGAAAAAGGGAGACCCTTGGGCTAGGAATGTGGCTTAGTGGTAGAGTGCTTGCCTAGCATGCATGAAGCCCTGGGTTCGATTCCTCAGTACCACATAAACAGAAAAGGCTGGAAGTAGCACTGTAGCTCAAAGTGGTAGAGTGCTAGCCTTGAGCAAAAGGAAGTTCAGGGATAGTGCCCAGGCCCTAAATTTAAGCCCCAAGACAAGAAAAAAAAAAAGCGGGAGAGCTTTCTTGCCCACCTGGGGGCCATTTCATCCCATTTCTCCCTCTTATGCCCCCAGTGCTCAGGCTTCGGTCTCCTGTACTCTGGAAGCCCTGGAACCATTCTGGGAAGTCCTTGTGAATACAGGTAGGAGGTGGGGGGGAGGGCCAGTGGACTTGATAAGATCGTGCATGTAATATACCCTGTAGGGAGGGACAGCACTCTCTGAGACCTCCTGTTTTGTGTGTCAGTACTGGGGCTTGAACTCAGAGCCTGGGTGTTCTTTAGCTTTTGTATGTGTGTGTGCCAGTAGTAGGGCTCAGGTCCTAGGAGCTATCCTTTAGCTTTTTCTGCTCAAGACTGGCACTCTACCACTTGAGCCACAGCACTACTTTCCTTTTTTTTTGTTTTTTGTTTTTGTTTTTTGTCCATCTTGAGGCTTTAACTCTGGGCCTAGGCACTTTCCCTGAGCTCTTCAGTTCAAGGTGAGCACTCTACCACTTGACCCATAGCACCATTTCCTGTTTCTGGTGATTAATTTGAGATAAAAGTCTCACAGATTTTCCTGCCTGGGCTGGCTTTGAACCACGATCCTCAGATCTCAGCCTCCTGAGGAGCTAGGATTACAGGTATAAGCCACCAGTGCTTGGCTACTCCCTGTTTTTTGGTCGTTAATTGAAGATAACCATCTTACACACTTGTCTGCCTGTGGCTGGCTTTGTACCATCTCATCCACCAATGGCTGGCCCCTTAGCTTTTTCACTCAAAAGCTAGTGCTCTACCATTTATCCAGAGCTGTACGTCTGGCTGTTTGGTGGCTAACTGGAACTTAAAATTTCACGGACTTTCCTGTATGGACTGGCTTTGAACCATGATCCTCAGATCTCAGCCTCTTGAATAGCTAAGATTACAGGTGTGAATCACTGGTGCCTAGGCCATCTTGGTTAAAGAGGGTCGTAGTCTCTCCACCAGACCCAGATGTCAGGCTTTTTGTGTGTTTTGAGTTACAGTTGTCACAGTATGATGGGGATCCAAATTGGGGAAGTAGGGTGAAGGTGACTTCTCCTTGCAGTTGATAGTACGGAGGAGGACAATGAGGCTGGAGACAACTGGGACGAGAGACAAGAGGAAGGGGAAGGACCCTTGGGGGCCACTTCACTGCCAGTCCTGACATGGCCCACGCTACAGCATCGTACAGGATTGGTCTATGACCAAAGAATGATGAGTCACTGCAACCTGTGGGACAAGTATGCATTTAGATGGCTGGAATGAAGTTGGTGAGGGACACTTCTCATAAGCCACTAAACCCTTCTCTCTGATTTTATCTCCACTGCTAGCCACCACCCTGAGACACCCCAGCGTATTTTGCGGATCATGTGCCACTTAGAGGAACTAGGGCTTGCAGCACGCTGTCTCCACCTGCCTGTGCGGCCTGCCACTGATGCCGAGCTCCTTACCTGCCACAGGTCAGTCTGTACTGAGAATAGGTAGCCACAAGACTGTGGTGGTTCTCTGGGGGGGGGCGGGGAGAGCTTGGGGCTCCCCTTCCATTGTGGGTGAAACTGCTGCTCACCTATTCTTGACTCAGCATGGGGTGGGAAATGGACAGATCCACCCAACTGTCTCTATATTACCTCCAGTGCCCAGTATGTAGAGCGTCTCCGGGCTACAGAGACAATGAAAAGCCGGGAACTGCACCGCGAGGGTGCCAACTTTGACTCCATCTACATCTGCCCCAGCACATTCACCTGTGCTCAGCTAGCTACAGGTGCAGTCTGCCGCCTGGTGGAAGCTGTACTATCAGGAGAGGTGGGTCCTCATGAGATGGCATTGGGCTAGAGAGAGGAGATCCTGGGGGAGTGGAAGAGAACCATCTACCACTTACACTGGCTGGAGAGAGGTAGTGGGAGTGTCTCTGCTCACTGGGAATTGGGATTAACCCCACCAAGCAGGTGGTGGACTGGTGGAAGGGACAGAGAAGAAAGAGGGAGCCACAAATATGATGGCCAGGGATCCGGTCTTACTCTTCATTTCTCCCCTAAGGTTTTAAATGGCATTGCTCTGGTGCGCCCCCCTGGACACCATGCAGAGCACGATGCTGCTTGTGGCTTCTGCTTTTTTAATTCTGTGGCTGTGGCTGCTCGCCATGCCCAAGCCATTAGGGGGACTGCCTTAAGGTAAGAGCTCCCTGGAGACACCCCCACCCCACCCTCACCATCACCACAATCCGCTCCTTGCAACAATCTGGACCTCCCCACCCCTGGCCCATAGTACCACCCCCAGAACTTTCCCAGAAACAAGCCAAGGATCACTGAAGCTTCTCCCCAGACAAAAACCAAAAAGAATCCTTTCAGCAGTTCCCATGCAAGACCTCTACATTTTGCCACCAGGATCCTGCACAGCAGCAGCGGCTCATGCCTATAATCTTAGCCACTCAGGAGGCTGAGATCTGAGGATTGAGGTTTGAAGCCAGTCCAGACAGACAAATCCATGAGACTCATATCTCAAGCTAACCAGAAAAAAAGCCAAGCAAGAGCACAAGGCCTTGAATTCAAGCCCCAGTTCAAGGGTTCTATCTTAGCATTCCTGACCACCCCCTAGGATCCAGCATGTGAGACTTGGCCATTCAGGCCCTCCATTTACCTAGTCATTCCCCAGAAAAGCCCAGAGGCCAGGATTTATCCTCATACTAACATCCAACCCTTTCCCAAGAGACCAAAGGTCCTGCTACCCAGCAACGAATGCCTCTGCAGACCCCATGCAACTAGCCCTAGCCCTCTTCCAAGGGACAAATATCTCAGCTTATTCAGATGCTATTCCCTCTCCAGGATCCTAATTGTGGATTGGGACATCCATCATGGGAATGGAACTCAGCACATCTTTGAGAATGACCCCAGGTAAGGGATACAAGCTAAGGACAAAGGGTATGGTGAGGGAAGGGGCTGACCATGCCCCTAACCAGCTATGGCCCCTTTTTCTTCCCATCCTGTTGCCCACAGTGTGCTTTATATGTCCCTGCACCGCTATGATCGTGGCACTTTCTTCCCCATGGGGGATGAGGGGTCCAGCAAACACGTAGGTCTGGCTGAGGGCATGGGCTTCACTGTCAATGTGGCCTGGAATGGGCCCCGTATGGGTGATGCTGACTACCTGGCTGCATGGCATCGACTTGTGCTTCCAATTGCATACGAGGTAAGGCTTAGGTTATTACATGACACATCTATAAAGGTAGCAACATATGCCTGCCTTTGCAGCATGTGTCTGACTGCCAGGTGTCTGATCCTGTGAGACAGCCTGTGGTTGGAGATAGTAATGACTCTTGAGGCAGGGGTGGCTTTGATGATCTCGAACTTGTATATCTGTCTGCACACATGGCAGCATGTCATTGCTCTCTGTGTGACATTTTGCAAATAAGCAACTCTCTTGCTGCTGTATGTGATGGGCTTCTGTGGTTTCTCTGGGTATGAGGGCCTTCTTGATGTCTGGTAGTAGCCCATGTGACCTGATTGGATCTGTGTCCTGTGTGACTGCTTGTCTGGGTATGAGAATGGCCATGAGTTGCCATCTGTGTGGAACTGAGTGTGCAAGGGAGGTGGGGGTTGGGTACATGCATGTGATACCACACAGGCTGCTGTTTGTCATCTCCTATTCCCTATATAATACGTGTGATGCAGGGTGGGGGGGTGAGTTGGGGAGGGGTTGGCTGATGGTGTGTACATGACTGACTCAGTGAATGCATGTGTGAGCCTGGATGTGAGCACATGCCTCGATTTTTAGTTTCTTTTATTGTTTTTTGTTTTGTTTTGCCAGTACCAGGGTCTTGAACTCAGGGCTTGGGCTCTCTCCCTGAGCCTCTCTGTGTTCAAGACTAGCACTCTACCACTTAAGCCACAGTACGTCTTCTGCCTTTTTCTGTGTATGTGGTACTGAGAAATCGAACCTAAGGGTTCATGCATGCTAGGCAAGCACTCTGCCACTAAGCCGCATTCCCAACCCTATTTTTAGTTTTTAAATTTTTCCCCTGGTTACTAGGGTTTGAACTCAGGGCCTTTTGCTTGACCAGGTTTGATTGCTCAGCTAGTGCTCTACCACTTGAGCCATGCCTCAAGTGGAGATGGACTCTTTTTTTTTTTTTGGTTCCAGTCGTGGGGCCTGAGCTCTGGGCCTGGGCGCTGTCCCTCAGCTCTTCAGCTCAAGGCTAGTGCTCTACCACTTGAGCCACAGTGCCACTTCCGGCTTTTTCTGCTTCTATGGTGCTGAGGAATCGAACCCAGGGCCTCAGGCATGCAAGGCAAGCATTCTACCACTGAGCCACCTTCCCAGCCCCTTCCTTCCTTCTTTCCTTCCTTTTTTTTGCCTGTCCTACGGTTTAAACTCAAGACCTGGGTATTGTCCCTGAGCCTCTCTGTGCTCAAGGCTAGTGCTCTGCCACTTGAACCACAGCACCACTAATGGCTTTTTCTGTTTATGTGGTACTGAGGAATCGAACCCTGGGCTTAATGCATGCTGGACAAGCACTCTACCACCAAGCCACATTCCCAGCCCATGGGAATTTTCTTCATTGCCACCTTCTAACTCCAAAATGACCTCAGAGACCCACCTAAGTCAAAAAGAAGAGAAATAGGGAAGGAGGAGTGGATTTGGGGAAAGGGCATCCCAGTTGTCCGTCCCCAAACCCCTATTTAAATCTCGTTGGTCAGATTATGTCTTATGATTTCCATAGCTGCAAATTTGGAACATCCAGATCAAGTTCTTTCTACTTTAACAAAATAGCCCCTTGTAATTTTTTTCCCCTCCGGGACCGACAGATGCAAACTCTTCCAGAACTACCAAAAAGCTAAAGCTGCCTTACAAGCCCCCTGGCCCCAAAGAAGCATTCACTCAAAATGGTTCCTGAAATCTCCATATCCTGCCCTCCAGGTTAAAGCTTGATACAGTCCCCAACACGCAGACAGGTCTCATCTCAAATGGTCAAGGGAGCGAGGAGCAGCCTTGTAGCGCCGCGCCGCGCACCGAACCAGCACATCTCGGTAAATGCCTTCACGACCCGCGATAGGTGATCTGTTGCTCCAGGCCAGACCCGAGTAGTGGCCGGCCCCCCAGCGGTAGGGGCGGGAGCAGAATAGGGATTGCAGACAGGTGGGTGGGGGCGAAAGAGGGCGGCTGCGCATGCCCACTCCCCCCCCGCCCCCCCCCGAGCTGGCTGGAGGTGGGGAGCAGAGAAGCCCCTTGTTGGTGTGGTCGTCAGAGCTGAGCGACGCCTGCCTACCTGCGCACCGCTGCTCTTGTGACACAGGTGAGTGGGGCGTCTGTTTCTTGGCCTCATTCAGGGCCGTGGGGTTGGAGTGTCTTACTGTGCTGGTCTGAAGGAGTCCTTCCCCGACCGTCCTAACTTCTAGGGTAAGCGAGCCCCTCACTCATTCCCACTTCGTCCCTCCGGGGGAGCCTGTGGTGCTGCTTGTGGTACCTGCTTCTCAGGACGCACCCGGGCGCCCGACGTGGAAGTGTGCCCTGGAAGTTTGAGGCTCACTCTTCCCCTGCCCTCAAACTTTCCTCTCAGAAAAGTGGGTAGTAAGCAAACAAGTTGCCTGGGGTAACTTGAAAAGCCATTTTGGGGCACACACACACACTCCTCCGGCTCTCCCCGTCCGAGATTTGACTAAGGCAAGGCCAGACTGCTCCCGACGAACTCAAAGCTCGCGCCCAAAGGGGGCGCCCCAGTCCCTGGGGACTAGCCGAACGCTCAACTGCCAAGGGGCCCTAGGCGTTCCTTGGGCCGAACGCTGAGACTTTCCATAGCATCTCCGTTGGGAAAGCAGAGGCCCCGCCAGTAGCCTAGGACTAGTTCTAACACTTCCAGACCACTCCATAACCTTGACCTCCCCAGCGTTTCACCCTTAAGTGTTCGTGGGCTCAAGGACAGGGCGCCTCCTGCTAGTTCGCGGGAGAGACGCTTGCGCTTCTCCCTGCTGCGCTCCCGATTATTACTGTAATGGCCAGCACCTTAGCCGCGAGGGAAGGGAAGGGCCGCTCACGCTTCCCTCCGCGTCTGTGCTGATGGCACCACACGTGCAAGTCATTCTTTTCTGCTCCCCCACCCGTAATCTCTCTTTTTGTGTAGGTCCTGAGGCTTGAACTTAGGGACGGGGCACTGTCCCTGCGTTTGGTTGTTTTTGTTTTGGGCTCAAGGCTAGCGCTCTACTTTTTGGGTGCTTAATTGGAGATCAGAGTCTCACGGACTTTCCCGCCTGAGCTGGCTTTAAATCGGGATCGTCGGATTTCAGCCTCCTGTGTATGTAGGAGTACACGCAAGAGGCAACGGTGCCCGGCCTGTAATCTCTTAAGAAAGCCGTTGGAGTCAAACCTTCAGAACATACCAGAATCCCACCTCTCCTTTTCACCCTACCCTGCTACCGACCAACACTGACCTTTTCTCTTCTGAGGAGGCTGTGGTCACTGCTCATTGCCTTCAGAGACTTCTCCCAATTTTTTCTACCCAAACAAAGGGAATCCCCCAAAGCGCTGTTTTGTTACCCTGTTCTCCCCCACCCCCTTTCTGGAAAAGTCCTTCCAGGGAACATTTTCTGAAATTCCCCCCCCCAAAAAAAAAAACTGGGACCTTCCCCTCCCCCCACCCTGGCATCTGCATCTGAAGCTCAGTTGAACCTGTTGTGGATTCGCTCCCCCACCCCACTACTTCTGGTTTTCCATAGAAAGTTGTGGGGAAGACCATTATGGTGCACTCTTGCGGAGGCACTCCCCAAACCGGATATGGAAGTGCATTGAGTGAGTTAAAGATGACTTACTATTAATAGCTAACACAGATTGAGCACCTGGTGTGTGCCTACCCTTACCTAATATACAAGATAATTTCCTTACTTACCATGTTTATTGTCTCCCAGCTAGACTCTAAAGCTCCCAAGGCTAGGAGTTGAGTTTGTTTTGAGTGACTTCACCTGCAGGAATTCTTGAATCAATGAAAACTAAATAAGAATAAAAATGCATAGCATTAACTGAGCCCCTGCTGCCTACAGACCACCAAGTACTGAAAATATTTTCTCTTATTTGTGGCTCCACAAGTCAACAAACTCACCAATTATACAAAATAAGAATTATATTACACTAAGTACAATGTAGAAAATGTCTGCAAAGCCCAGGGTTGGTTGGTTTGTACTTCTCTGTTCCTAGCACTTACCTTGTCAATAGATAAGACTAAATTCTAATGGAAAAAAAAATGGTTAACAGGAACTAGAGGTGTGGCTAGCAGTGGTAAAGCACCAGTTGAGCTGGAAAAGCTGAGCCAGAAAGGGAGGCCCTGAGTTCAAGCCTCAGTACCAGCACAATGAAAAGAAAGAAAGAAAAAGATAACGGACATGTTTTACTTAGTTTATTTTCTTTTTAGATAATAATATCCTTATAGAGGGTCCTTAAACTGTGTCCTTGTGGGTAAAGCAGAATGTTTGTGTGAATTTCTTTTAAATTTCTTTATAAACATAAAGTTACTGGGCATGGGAAAAGTTCTGAGCAGTCACCTATCTGACAGACACTACCTGGCTATGGTTCAAAGACGACCAAAACAAACAAAATTCTGCCCCACTCTGCAATGGGGAGGGACTGCTAATGAATGCGCTATTTTTTGCCAGGTGATAGCTGTGCTCTAAAATTTCACCATGTTGATGGTCCCACAAATTCTATGAATATTCTGAAATTCATGGAATTATATGGTTTATCTGAGTGAACCTTAAGAGATGTAAATTACATCTCTGTAAAGCTGGAGATGGGGACTCTTCCTCAGGGTTGAGTTTGGAGGCCTGGGTTTGCTTCCCCCAACCTGGAAAAAAAAAGAGTGGGGGGGGGATGGGGGAGAACAAAACCCCTGCCTTCAACAAGTTTATCTCTAGAAGGAAGAAAAGTAGGTGGAGTCACATAAATAACACATGCATATTGTTAAGAGATCAGCACACAATAGGCACTTAACAAATGTTGATTCAGTGATACCCAGGGGTTCCCCCTGCCTCCACCCCTGCTCCTAGATGGTCTCCCCTCCTTAGCCCCTGTTTTCTTCTCACTTGCTGAGCCTGCTGTTTACATCTCTTCCTTTAGCTGCCTGCCTGCTTGGGACATGCCGCTGCCAGCTAAGCCTAGTGTCTTGGACCTGGGCTCTTGCACCCCAGTGGAGAGTCATGAGACTTGGGCACAGTCCAAAAATGCTGACAAACGGCTGCCTGAATACAAGGCAGTGGTAGTGGGTGCAAGCGGTGTGGGCAAGAGTGCCCTGACCATCCAAATGATCCACAAGTGTTTCGTGAAAGACCATGATCCCACCATCCAGGATTCCTACTGGAAGGAAGTAGCCCAAGATGATGGAGGCTATATTCTAAATGTGATGGACACATCAGGGCAAGATATTCACAGGTCCTTGCGTGACCAGTGCCTGGCAGTTGGTGATGGGGTACTGGTTGTCTTTGCTCTAGATGACCTCTCATCTCTTGACCAGCTGCAGCAGATGCGGGCCACCTGGGGCCCTCAGATCAACCAGCCACTTGTCTTGGTGGGCAACAAATGTGATCTGGTGTCTACCTCTGGAGATGCTCATGCTGCAGCTGCAGCCCTGGCAAAAAGCTGGGGGGCTCCCTTTGTGGAGACCTCAGCCAAGACTCAGAAAGGTGTGGAAGAAGCCTTTTCTCTGCTCATCCATGAGATCCAGAGAACCCAGGAGGCCAAGGCAAGAGCAGCTAAGAATGTCCGGCACCAAAAAGCAATGTGTAGCTGTGGCTGCACAGTGGCCTGAAGGTCTTCGTTAAGAAAAGATGTCTCTCTCCCCAGCCAAGTTGCAGATTCCCTTGACATGAGACTCCCACACACAGAACCAAAAATCTCATAGACACTGTTGGGGCTTACGGACATCTTCATTTGGTGAAGGGCTTTTGATACATGGGTGTGTCTAGTATTGATTGTATCACTTTAAGAGGTTCTGTGCAAAATTAAATGTCCTCAGGTTTTAAAGCTGCCTTCTTGTCATGTGTTTCATGCGTAGGAGTGAAGTGAGTAGAGTTACATGATTTATGAGAAATCTATCAAGAAGTTTGGAGCCAATTACTAATGACAGGAATCCTAGCTAACAAAGGAGGCTGAGATCTGAGGATCCCTTTCGAAGCCAGCCAGGGCAAGAAAGTCCTTATGTCTCATTTCCAATTAATCATGAAAAAGCTGAAAGGGGGAGGTGTGGCTCAGCCCAAGTGATAGAAGAGCAGCCTTGAGAAAAAGCTAAGAAACAATACCTAGGTCTTGAGTTCAAGCCCCAGTACCAGCACAAAAAGACAAATTTCCCAGCTCTGCTGTGGGTACAAAGAATGCAGAGACCAGACTTTAAAAATCTCATGTATGAGCTGGTCGTGGTGGTTTATGCCTGTAATCCTAGCTACTCAGGAGGCTGAGATCTGAGGATCACAGTTCAAAGCCTGCCAGGGCAGGAAAGGTCATGAGACTTATCTCCAATAAACCACTCAGAAAACTGGAAGTGGCACTGTGGCTCAAGTGGTAGAGCACTAGCCTTGAGCTGGAGAGCTGAGGGACAGTGCCCAGGCTGAGTTCAAGCCCCACGACTGACAAAAAAAATGTATGATCGCTAGGTGGCTGGGTTATGGAAGACTGATGATAGGGAGGTGTGAAGAGAATTATGGAGTAGGTGACTTTTGGGCAAAAATCCCCCAATAACCAGGAGCTGAGTCCATAAGAGCTTGGCCCTCAGAAGGATAGGCTGACCATGATCTCGGATCCCCATACCCTAGTGAAGCCTAGCAGGGCAGTCCAGGATCAGGACGGGGACTACAGTTGTCACTGTCATTTCCTGAGTGGCTGTCTCTATAGCAGCTCACCAGTGGCTCAATTCTGTAATCCTAGCTACTTAGGAGGCTGTGATCTGAGGATTATGGTTTGAGGCCAACTAGGGTAGGATGTGAAGCAAGCCAGGGCAAAAAAGTCCGTCAGACTCTCAATAAACTCAGGAGCCGGAAGTGGAGGTGTGGCTCAGCCAAAGAAGCCCAAGGACAGCGCACAGGCCCTGAGTTCAAGCCTCGGGACCGGCAAAAAAAAAAAAAAAACTACCATTGCCACCCACCCAGCCCCTAGCCACCCTAGCCACTGCCACTGAGACAAATAGCTGCTTCAGATCGTGTTTATTGAGAGGCAGGGAGGGAATCTTGGGGTGGTGTATGTAAGCTGGTGGATGACGACGACGTGCAGCCGGGAACGCTTGAGGAGTGAGGAGGGCGGGGTTGCAGGGCGCCTCCCGCAGGTGGTGCTCAGGGCGGCAGGAGGCGTCGCGCAGGCGCCTGGGGCTGGGAGTTTTCCAGGCGTTTCACACGCAGCAGGGCGCCCAGTACGCCCTCAGGGGGCACCTCTGGACCAAGATCCTGTTCGGCAGCACGACGGAGGCGACGCGGGGCAGCTGCAGCCTCCGGCTCCCCGCTTCCAGTGAGGATCCTCCCCAACAAGTACCTGCGGGACAGAGAGGGGAAATGTGACCCCGAATGGAGCACAGGACCTCATAAACTCACTTTGGTCTCCTGACCCTTCTATTAATTAGATACTCAGATGTCCCCATCCCAGAAACTGATGTCCCCTGTGGGAAGCAGTGCACCAGGGCTGGAAGTCCACATCCTGAACTGCCCTCCAGCCCGGCAAATTTGCCTCCTCCGCCTGGATCGATCGATCCAAAGTCTCACTCCCTTTCTAGGGCCCAATCCCCGACCCGTGGTCCAGCACCTCAGTAGCTCCGGGTCCACGTCGGGTGTCTCGTCCCCGGCATCCTCGATATCTGGACCTGTGGGGCCATCGTCGTAGACGGGGGGTCTGGGTCGCAGGGCAGCGGCGGGGGCAGGCGCGGGAACCAACTGGGCTGCTAGGGCGGCGGGGTCAAGGCGGGCGCGGAGCAGGGCACGCGCCAGTTGCGCGGCGGGAGCATCGGGATCGTCATCCAAGGCCAAGGGCGCATCGGGAGCGCGCGGGGAGCCCCAGACGCGCAACAGCTGCGCCAAGACGCGTGCCTGCTGATCCTCCGCCTCCTGCGCCTCGGCCCGCGCCCGCTCCTGCCTCTCAGCCTCCAGCAGATGCGCCAGCGCCCGCGCTAGCTCCTGCACCGCACCCGCTGCCTCTCCTCTGGGCACTGCCCGACGGAAGCGGCGGGGAGCGCCAGCCTCAGTCATTGGTGGTGACGCTGCGCCCAGGCTGCGGGGTTCCTGTGAGAAGATGGGAGAGGGGAGAAGGGAGAGGGTGCCAGTCAGTGGTGCTTCAGGGCAGGAACCTCCAAGTAGAGATGGGGGTGGGGTAGATCCATCCCGTGCCCCACCTAAATACACGAATACCTCTAAGGTATTAAATATCTGCAGACACACTTAAGACCACCAAAGACCCTCACCCACCCACCCAGGCATGCATCCCCAGTGATATTGTAGGAACTCTCAGAAATTGTCCTGGTTCTACGGCCCAGTTTGATTTTTTGTGTGAGTGCTGGTCCTGGGGCTTGAACTCTGGGCTTAGGTACTGTCCCTTAGGGCTTTATTTGTTCAAGGATACCTCTCTACCAGTTTTCAGCCACAGCTCCACTTTTTTGGTGGCTTTTTGGTGGTTAATTGGGGAATAAGAGTCTCACGGGCTTTCCTGCAGGGCCACTTTTACTCAGATCTCAGCTTCCTGAGTAGCTAGAATGCAGGCATGAGCCACAGGCAATTGGGTTGGAAGTTCCATTTGTTTTGGTCAGTGGGGGGGGGCTTGAACTCTGGGCCTGCGCACTGTCCCTCAGCTCTTCAGCTCAAGGCTAGCGCTCTACCACTTGAGCCACAGCACCACTTCCAGTTTTTTCTGTTTATGTGGTGCTGAGGAATCCAACCCAGGACCTCGTGCATGCTAGGCAAGCACTCTCCCACTGAGCCACCTTCCCAGCCCCACATTCCATTTCTTTGAAATGAAAATTCTCATATTTTGCCAGTGGGAATTAAATTGACAAAATAATTTTGAACAGTAAGTTAGTAATGTCCCAAAAGAGCCATATATTCTATAACCCACTCCTGGGGGATCATGAAAGATGACAACAGCACTTGTAATTGCCTAAAAGGGGGGGGGAGGAAGAAATGAAAGAAAGAAAGGTCTGGAAATATCCTAATATCCACTGACGTATTGCAAATCCATATATAAGCCATGACACAGAGTCATGAAATACTTACTCATAGGGCATAATACTATCCAGCCATAAAATTAATTACAGCCACACACTTAGATATACATGAATCTCACCACCAAACTGAGCCAAAAATGGCAAATGTGGGCTAGGAGTGTACTCAGTGGTAGAGTGCTTGCCTCACAGGTGCTAAACTCTGAGTTTGAGCTGAAACAACCCCCAACCTCTCTCCCCCCTCCCATTAGCAAGTTCCAGAATCTCACTGCAGACTGCCTGAGACAATGAGACACACACTTCCTAGTGATCCCTAGTGACTGCCAGATGGCAAATGCCCAGTTTGATTCCATTTCTTTGATGTAAAAAGCAGGAGAAACTAAACAATAGGTGGTTTTGAGGTAAGCTGCAAACAAAAATAAAGAATCAAAGGACAAAAATTACAGGGCAGTGATTATGAGGGAAGGATACCGAGAAAGGATATATGCTGGCTTCTATTATTGCCTTTCTTCTGGTTATGTAAAAATATTGTTTTATTGTTATTATTAAGGTGTTGTACACAGAGGTTACCATTTCACAATTCAGATAATGTGTGCACTTCTCTTTTGGACAACCTCACCCCTTTCTTTCTTTCTTTCTTTCTTTCTTTCTTTCTTTCTTTCTTTCTTTCTTTCTTTCTTTCTTTCGTCAGTCATGGGGCTTGAACTCTTGCTTGGGCGCTGTCCGTGTGTTCTTCAGCTCAAGACGAGCACTCTACCGCTTGAGCCACAGCACCACTTCTGGTTTTCTAGGGGTTTTATTGGAGATAAGAGTCTCACGGAGTGTCCTGCCCGGGCTAGCTTTGAACCGTGATCCTCAGATCTCAGCCTCCTGAGTAGCTAGGATTATAGGCGTGAGCCACCAGCGCCTGGCTCCTTTCTTCATTTTAATTAGTTTATTTTTTGATGTTGGAACTGGAGCTTGAACTCAGGGCCTGAGCACTGTCCCATAGCTTATTCACTCAATGCTGATATTCTGCCACATGAACCACACCTCTACTTCTGGCATTTCAGTCATTAATTGGAGATAAGAGTCTCTAGAACTTTGCTGCCTGGGCTGGCTTTGAACCAAGATCCCCAGATCCTGAATAGCTAGGATTACTGGGATGAGCCACTGGCTCATGGTTTATTTCTTAAACTGAGTGACAGCTACTTAACAAGTTATTTTATCATATTTTAAGTTGTACGTATAAATATATGATAGTGTTATATATAAAAATATTTTTTTTTAAAAATCTTTGATTCAGTCCTGAAGAGCTAGAGGAAGAAGCTGCTCCAATTATCCTTGGTTGGCACCCATCAGCTTTGGTTGGGAATTTATTCATCAGCAATCTTTTTCTCTGTGTCTGTCTCTGTCTCTTCTCAGCCCATGCGATGTCATCTATGCAACCCAACACTACCACATCTCCATACAAAGAAACATACACATTCCCATCATTTTTATTTCAGAAGGAGTGGTCCTGAGGTCTCCTGTGATTGTAATGATCATGCAGTTACACCCTCCAAGCCACCCATGTGCCAGGACACACACCACCCCAACAAACAATGCAGATTGGAGACATCATGGCTCCTTTTCTCACA